GGAAGTATTGCTCTGGCCAGAGTTAAGGGCTCCATGTTGGGGGTGAGATTCATTTGCATAGGGTGGTCCTGCGGTTGTGGGAGGGGAATGAAGTCACCAGGGGGTGAGGTCTAGAGAGAGGGAGAACCCAAGGACTGAATGGTGAGGCCCTCATGTATAGGGATGGAGGCAATGGTCAGAGGGACCAGAGGAGATTCATAAAATTTACTATCCAAGGAAGCCAAAGGAGACACCTGAAATGACTGTTGTTCAAAGGATGAAGTAATCCGTAGCCTACGTTAGTCGCCCTCCCACTGGCCCCCTAATGGTGCTGTCATTATATTTTGTACTTGGTCTTCAGAGCACTTACCACACTTCTGATTAATCAATGTGATCATCTGTTCAGGGTCCACCTCCCCCTCTGAACTGTGAGCTCTGTGGAGGCAGGGACCATGCCACTCTCATACTCTTCTATCTCCAGCATCAGGCATGGTGTTTAGCACATAATGGTGTTGGTACCCCAAGTTGTTGTTGCTGTTTCCTGGCAGGACTCCAGCTGTTCACACTCTGCGCCCCGCCCCCGTGCAAATTGGGAGAAGAGGGACTTAGGACCCCGCGAGAGAGAATTCAAGCTGCTCAGTTCAAGTTTTGGGTGCAGCAAGTGTGAGTGGGTGGCCAAAAGTGGGTCATCCAAACTCCCATTTATTTGTACATTACAGTAGCCAGCTACAGTTGGTGCCCAAAGCTTATAGGACTCAAACTCCAAGCCTCTCCAATGGGTCATTGGTAGCTTCTCATTTGCTCCCCTTAACCATCCCTTTGGAGAGCATGCCCTTCCCCTTACCTGCACTCATTGTGCAGCAGCTCTTCTTATCACCACATTCATGAAGGGAATGGTGTTCCCATCATGATGCTGAAATCTACCTGTGCAAAGATTTTTGAACTTCGACTTCCTTAGGATGCCGGTCAAGGCAGGTGTCTTAAGTCACATTTCCCCAAAAAGTACCCTGAGATGAGATTTGTGTGCAGGTGACGGAAGTGCCCCCACAGGAGACCGGGGAAGCAGGAAGCATGCAGGGATGTGGGATCGAGGGCAGCTCCAGCCCCCCCACCTCAGAGGGTTCCTCTGGAGCGCATGTTATGCCTCAGAGTTGTTCTGACCTGAGGTAAAGGACCTGAGTTGAGGGTTCATTCTCCTGTTCCATTTAGGCTTTGATTAAGGGGATCATGGATCATAAACCCCCAGGCACTTCTGCCTCTTGCTGTGTGGGGGCAACGTGGGCTCAGTAGCCAAAGGAAGACTGAGAAACAAACAAAAAGTGGCGGTGGGGCTCACAGGAGTGGGAAGAAGGGAGATCTGTGAGGTGTGGGTGGAGTGTCAGCAATGTCTGCTACAGCAGGTCACGCCCGGGTCTTTTTCTGGGACCCGAAGGACCCAAAGCAGAGGCTGAAGCTCTCCTCTGTCTTCCATCCATGTGCGCTTTATCAGTGGAGACCAGCCCTTAGAAGCACATTTCACATCCTCATGAAGGCTTCCCACTGGACCAGAAGGCACTCAGTAGATGTTCACTGAGTGAGTTGGAAGCACCACAGTTCAGGAGCTGGGGGCTGAGATGAGGCCGTTGTACTTGGTCACGAGCAGCCGTTGGAGACTGGTTTAGGAAGCTGTGCGAATGCGGTGGAAGCCAGACTGCGAGAAACGACAGCGTGTGGTTGTCTCTGTGCTCGGAAGGAGTTTGTTGGTTGAAGGCGGTGGGGGAAGAAGCGAGGCCTTGAGCAGACTTGCAGGAGGAGTGGAAAGAAGCAGAAGATGGAGAGGTGGCAGATTCAAGGCCCAGAGAGGACAAATGGGAGGAGGAGTTCCTGGTGCGAGTGGGAGGAGGTGGGATGAGGAGAACAGGTGGCAGATCAGCCTTGGCCAAGAGAAGGGTTACCCTCTTACTCTGAGAGAGCAGGAGAGGGTTGAGAGGCTTGTTGAAAGGTCTGAGGATGGTGCAAGTTGGAAGTAAGAAGGAGCAAGTCAAAGAGACACATCTTTTCAGCCAAGTGGGGGAAAGGTCATTGGTTGGGGTGACTGGGTGACAGGGTAGGGAGTGTGAAAGCGTTGGTACAGTCACTTTGGGGACCTTGACTGAGTCAGCAAGAGATGGCCAGTGGAGGATCGGATGGCCAAGGGGAGATGGTGGACCTTGTTGGTGTGGTTGGGCACCACATTGGGGACTCCCGTGGTGGGGAAGGTGGCATGTTGGGGAATATTTTGCAAGGTAGTTGGTGTGAGCAAATTTGGGGAGTGTTGAAAGGTCTTACTCTGCAGTCACTGTGGCTACTTCTGTTTGCATCTACTATGTGCCGGGCTCTGTGGCAGATGTCCAACAGCTCCATGGGGTCGTGCTACCCGACTTGCCCAAGGTCGTGCCACCAGTGGTTGCAGAGCTGGAACTCTGTGCCTGCCCCGACTGATTGTGACACCAGCCTCACCTAAGGCCCGTATAGGGATTTGGATGTGAAATGCTTTGGTGCTGCAGAATGCCACGCAGATGTGAAGCACACCTTTCCAAGCCTCCTCCTTAGCCCCCGTGGGGACTGAGTTGCGTCATGCTTTGGTTCTCCCTCTTCCAGGAGAAATGTGTCAGACCCTGGTGGGCGGGGACAAACCAGTGTGAGTCTCTAGAACAGGGCTCTGTGGGGAGGTAGAAAGCCCAGGCAGGTGTCTGCAGCCTGCCCGCAGGGTGCCAGGTTCTGGGTTTGTATCCCCAGTGTGGGTGAGTGGGGTTTGTCCCTGGACCTGTGTCTGCACTGTGTGTGTGGGAGTTGAGGGACATCTCTCTGTGCTTGTGAGTCTGTGCTTCTCAGTGAGCATGTGCATGGTTTTGAATCTTACTCTGTCTTAGCACCTGCTACACACAGAGGCACATAGAAGTGGTTGGGTGGGTTGCAGATATAGCTTAGGGAAAGAACAAATGGTGGGATGAAGGGAAGCAGAGAGACGGGGACACACGTGTTCCCCCACGTGTTCAGAAACACCCAGGTGACACACACACAGAGAAATGCACAGTGTCCGTTTCTCTGTGTGCTTTCTTGAGTGGGTTGGCGTATACTTCTTATGGATGTGCATCTGTGTGTATGACTGGCACATAGCCAGTTAGCCTCCGAAACACAGAATGATAGGTATATGGAGACTCGTGGAAACACACAAAAACGCTCAGACATACATTAGCGTACTCTGTGTCTTTGCATGTTTATTCCTGCGTGTTTCTGTGTTACCGTGTGTTTTTCTGAGTGTGAACATCTGTGTGCCTGAATAATGCAGATACATGTGGGAGACAAACGTGGGCACACACTCTGAGAAACACACACACAGTGTGCGTGTGTGTGTGTGTGTGTTTGTGTTTGTGTGTGTTTCAAAGTCAGGGAGGGAAGGAGGAGGGAGGCCAGGAGAAGGCCAGTGGGAGGATCCTGGTCTTGCTCTGCTTCCTGGCACGCAGACCCAGGTCCCCTTACCTCTTGGGGAGCAGGATGATGGGGTTTGGGTGACACTGCTTTGCTCTGGTGGGTTGGCCAGCCAGCACTGAGGAAGGCCCTGAGGTATACGAGTTCATTCCAGACTTCGTAGAGAGAAGTAGATCTTCATGGGGAAGATCCCCCTAAAGATCTACCTCACCTCCAGTACACCCACAGTCTGTGCAGGGGGGCAGGAGATGTAAAACTCACCCTGGTCACCAGGCTGTGGAGCAAGGAGCAAAGAGACCCTCCTGGGGTCAATTCCTGGTGCCGTCATTCCCCCCCCCTCCCCTTTCTGGCTCTGTGGGTGTGGACAAGTGGCTTAACCTCTGTGTCTTGTGTCCTTGATGCCCTTGAGTCTGGGAGAACAGACTCATCTACCTCATGGGGGGTTGAGGATTAAGACCACTCTCAGGGCAGACATCCGTTCATCCAGCAGTTATTAATTGAGCACCTACTGTGGCTGGACCCTCTTCTTGGCCCTGGGGCTTCAACAGTCAACAAAGCAAAGTACCGTGTGCTGAGTTCACCTGCTATGCGGAGGAAGCTGGTCAATAAACCAGTAATGCCACAAACATGTCTGGGGTGGTGTTGGGAAGAAAGCCAGAGCAGGGTGATAGGACAGAGAGGGGCAGGGGGCGGTGGGGGCCAGAGAATGGTCAAGGAAGGCCTTGGCTAAGATGACGTTTGATCACAGAGTGGAAGCAAAGGAGTGAGCTACTGGCAGAGGAGAGGGTGCTTGAGGGGAGGGAATAGCAAGGGCAGAGGGCCATTTGTTATAAGTCTGTTGTTCTCCCCATTTTACAGTGGAGGAAATGGAGGCACAGAGAGGCTGAGTGATTTGCCCAAAGTCTCACAGCCAGTGAGAAAGAGATCCACATTTGAACGTGGGCAGTCTGGTTTCAGAGCCACTGGTCGAATTGGTGGTCCTCACTCGGGGGTGACTTGCTGTCCCCACCCCAGGGGATATTTGGCAATGTCTGGAGACATTCTTGATTGCCCCACTGGACCGGAGGGTACTACTAGCATCGAATCGATGGAGGCCAGGGATACTGAGAGAACTTTCACGATGCACAGGGCGCCCTGACAACTCGGCGGGATCCCGTCTAAACTGCCAGTTGTTGCTGAGGTGGGGAAAACCTGGTCTGGATCCATGCAAAGCACTCAGCAGAGTATGACACATAGTAGGTGCTCAGTAAAGAGTAGCTGAAGAGGAGGAGAAGTGATCTGTAGAGAGTTGCAGGGGAGTGTTGAATTCAACAGGGAGAAAAGGGACCTGTAAGTGAATCCGTCCATTTATAGGACTCCTGTGATGCTTCTTGGTGGGTGGGTATGAAGGGCAGGGCCGCCCCAGGGAGGGGGTACAAGTGAGGCAGGTGGTAGGAGGAGTTTGGTGGACTGGAGGGGGTGGGGCGACACTGGGCAGCCACCAGCCACTGTACCACTAACCAGACGACTTGTCTCTCTGTCCCTTCCCGCCCTATGTCTCTCTCCCCATCTCTCTTGGCCTCTCTGCCCAGAAGGGGACAGCCGGAGGCTGAAGGGGGCCATCCAGAGGAGCACGGAGACCGGCCTGGCGGTGGAGATGCCCAGCCGGACCCTGCGCCAGGCCAGCCACGAGTCCATTGAGGACAGCATGAATAGCTACGGCTCAGAGGGCAAGTGAGTGTGGGGCCCGGCCCGCTGCCAGCCCTCCTGGCTCTCGCAGCCCCTGTGGTGTGGGGTGGGAGGGGCTGAGCAGCGCCAGCCAGGAGGCCTGGCTCAGCCTCAGGCCAGGCGGGGCATTGGCTCAGCACTGCGGTCATGCAGAAGGGAGGTGGTAGGGCAAGCAAGCTCCAAGGGTGCTGCAGAGCTGTGTGGGGCAGACTCCAGTGCCTGACGGCCCACGGGCTGCACCATCCTGGGCCCATCCCTTCTCAGCACCTCAGTTTTCCCATCTGTAAAACCGGGTAATAGGGGCAGCCTCAGAGGGGCGTTGTGAGGATTCGGTGGGTTCCTATTTACAGAAAGCAGAGGACAGTGTTGGCATGTGATGCCGTATGTCAGTGTTGGCAAAAATAAAGAAGGGGGTCGAGATGGGTTTTATCATGATGTTACTCTTTCCTCTTTACTTTCTTAGTTTCTTAAATCATGATTGGTTTTTAAAAATACATAATTAATACTGCTTGATAAGGAGTTTCACACATGTCAAACCATAAAATATTAGGTCTGACCGCCTCCTCACCAGCGTTCTCTCTCCCTGACTGTATGTCAGCACTGCTGGGTTCTTGTTCCCGCTCCAGATTGCAGGCCCTGTGCCCTGAGTCAGAGTCTCTGGGAGTGGAGCTCGGAACTCCATTTTGTAAAGGTTCCCTGAGGGAAGACTACTCCAGACTGGGGGGATCTCATCTTTGTAGCAATTATGGACCTCTTTGAGAATTTTGGGCAAGTTTTGGGCCTGCTTTCCCCTGAGAAATATGTGCACATACACCCTAACACACACACAGTCCCACACATTCTCACACACATACACAGTCGTACAAACATACTCTTTTCATAATTAGAGCGGGTTCCCAGATTCCCCTTGAGCCCATCCATGGATCCCTAGCAAAGAAACTTTGCTCCCAAGTGACTTTCTTATTGTACAGATGACCAGGGCACTCAGAGAGGTTGGGGAGCTTGTCCTGGATCACAGAGCACATTAACGGGTCTGGAACTCAGGAGTCCTGACTCCCACTGGGGGCTCATTCCATGGCAACGCGTCGCTCCCTTGTCTTGGCCATCCTCAGCCAGGGGTATGGGGGTTCTTGTCACCCTCATGAGGACACTGGGGCTTGGGGAGGTTAAAGCAGTGCTGTCCAGTACAGTGGATGCTAGGCACGTGGCTATTTAAATTAATTTAAATGGAATAAAATGAAATATTCTGTTTTTCTGTCGTGCTGGCCATATTCCAAGTGTCCAGTGACAACTCTTTGGGACAGTGCAGGTATAGAGCATCTCTGCCCTCGCAGACAGTTCTGTTGGGCAGCACTGGCTAAGTGGCTTGTCCGGGGGCAGACACCGGGGCGCGGCTGGGGCTCAGCCACCACCTTCTGCTCTTCTCCCGTTTCTGGCACTGCCTCCCAGCTGGGGGTTCCTGCTGGCTGGAAGCCTTCCCACCCCCAGCCCCTCCTAAACTGGGCATCTCCGGCCTCTGTGAATGGCCTTGCCTTGGCAGATGCTGCTGTCCCACCCACTTCCTCGGGAGGCTTTCCGGAGGGCGAGAAGAGGAGGAGGACAGGCAGAAGGGAGAGGAAGAGGAGGAGGAGGAAGGGAACAACTGTTTTCTTTAACCTGAGAAACTTGGCAAGGCAACAACACTTGGAGGAAGATATTGTAGGCATCGGGGTAGCAGTGGGTCTCTGCCGAGTTCCAGAGGGTCAGGAGGTTTGGGGCCTAGTCCTGGCTCTGCCACTGACCCCCGGATGGCCTTGGGCACATCCCTTGGCCTCTTAAGCTCCAGGAGGCTGGCCAACATCTTGTCTGTTGGTCTCGCAGGCAGCTCAGGCGGAGGGCAGCGTGGGGCAGGGAGCAAGAGCGGGGAGTCAAACCCAGAGCCCCATTTTACAGAAGGCTCAGAGACGCCACGTGACTTGTCCAGGGAGAGCAGCACAAGGAGGGTGTCGTGCAGGAGAAATGAGCTGATGCCTGCACGTGACAGGTGCTTGGGAGGTGGCTCTTGTCATTTCTTGTAATGTGCTTTAAGGGACCAGAGAGTCTGAGATTCCAGGCCAGGACCCTGGAGTCAGACAGGCCTGGTTTGTGCCTCATTTCTGCTTCTTAGTAGCTGTGTGACTTTGGGGAAGTTGCTTTATCTCTGTAAGCCCAGTTTCCTCATCTATGGAAAGGGGACAGTAATAGCACACCAAGACTACTCTTAGAGTTGTCGTATGGATTACATGAATTAATATATGTACGAGCGCTTAGGACTGTGGCTGGCACGTAGCATGCCCTATTATTCTGTTATTACTGGCTTTGATTATTGTTGTTTGTTGTTGATTCAGCCCATTAGTTGGGTATTTTGCTCCTTGTGGCCAGTTGCATCTTACTGGACACAGGGAGCCACCCCCGATGCAATTGTGTCTGTAAAGTACTTAGCACAGAGCAAGCACGGGATTGATGTTGGCTGTGACATTTGTGATCATCAAAAGGTTTGGGGTGCATATCTTGAGCCCAACTGAGGAAGGATCAGGTGGGTTGGAGGGTGCTGGTTCCAGCAGAGGGGAGAGTCTTGCCCTCCAGAGAGGATCTGAGTCTTGATGGAGCCCAGCCAGGTTCCTCCACTCCACATAACACCTGGGCAAGGAAGGGGCATAGAAAGGACGGGGGGTGGGGGGGGACGTGGAGCTGTGGTCGGCCTCCTCCTTGTTCTGGAGGTATTTTGGGCACTGGTAGGACCCAGATGCCAGGCTCTGAAATAGGAGGGGGTGTGACTGTCCTCCCCTTGGGCTCCTGCCAGCCCAGCTGAGCCTTACGAGGAGCCAGCATGCTCGAGCAGCCCCTGCGAGCCCACAGCCCCTGGCGCTGCTGGATCTGTATCTGTCTGCCAGTGCCCTGGATCACTGGCGTGTGTATTCCTGCAAGTGGGCACAGGGGTTTTTCTTTCAGCAAACATGATCGAGTACCTACAGTGTGCTAGACAATTGGGCTGGGCACCTGGGAGCCCCAGCCTTGCACTGACCGAGCAGCTCGCAGTGAGGTGAGAGCTGCCAAGGACAGGCGTAGAGAACTTTGGAAATACTGCATCCTCACCAGGTCTCTGGGCTGGGGAAGGGATGCGTATGGGCGGGGCCATTCTGTCAGTGAAGATCCTTGGGCTCCAGACTGCCTCATATTAGCTGACAGTGACATCAGCCCTTGCTGTTCCAAGTGTGGCCCCCAGTCCAGCAGCATCGGCATCCCCTGGGGGTTGGTTAGAAATGCAGTGTCGGCATCCCCTGGGGGCTTGTTAGAAATGCAGTGTCGGCATCCCCTGGGGGCTTGTTAGAAATGCAGTGGATCCACCCCAGACCTATTGCATCCGAATCTGAAGCTTTACAAGCTCTCCGGGTGGTCCGTGTGCACATGGAGGTTGAGAGGCCCTGGCCCAGTGGGAATAATGTTCTAGAGCTAAGCCTCATAGAGCGCTTGCTATGGGCAGGCACCGTGCAAAGTGCTTTTATATATATTGGCCCATTTAATCCTCACAGCAACCCGATGACGCTGAGCCTGTGAATGTCCCCATTTTACGGACGAGGACACAGAAGCCAAAAGAGGTTAATTAACTTGCCCAAGGTCACTCAGCCAATAAGTAACTTCAAATGCCAGGCTTCAAATTTGGGCCTTGGAATCTGCCCTTCACCTTTACACTTGATTCTTTCCCTCATTTAATGGTTGTGTCCATCAAGATTTCGGGAGGTAGACGCTTCCAGCGTGGTGTGGTGGCTCAGTGAGTCCCTTCAGCTTTTCCCTCCCTAGATTTCAGCAGGTGGGACTGGTCCTGGTGTGTCTCCTGGGGCTGGGGAAGGGCTTTCCTTCCCTGAGCCCCTTTCTGCCTGGTTGAAAATTGGAGTTCTCTGTGTTAAGGATGGAAGGAAACAGCTGTGGGTTTGGCAGAGCCGAGCCACTCCTCACTCTTGCCTGGATGCACGCAAGCCTCCCTTTTGGTCGAAACTCCAGTCTGTCACTCAGCACGCACTTCCGCTGACCCCTGCCAACCTGCGCCAGGCCCTGGCCATGTGCCCCCAGCTCCAGCGCCCTGAGCCTCTCACGCTCCCCTCCGTCTCCCCTGCAGGTCTTCGCTTCCTCTACCTGGCACTGCCCTTCCCACCTCTCCTCCCTCTGACTCATTCCTCTTCCAGATCTCAGCTCAGAACTGGCACATAGGCTTCATCTCCTGTGCCAACTCCAGTTAATTGATAGTAGCTCCCTGGGCTGCTGTGTGGAAAAGGATTCTGGAGCCTCATCCAGCCTTGGCAGGGGTGTGGAGGTTGATTAGCAATGTCTGCCTGGGTGTGGGCAGACGAGGGGGAACGGTAAGGGCTGCGAATCCTCTGGCTGCATCAGCAGTTTCCGCGGCCTGTTCTGCCCTCCACAGCACCCACCCCTCGGTCGTGATGGTCACGGGTGTGTTTGTCTGTCCCACTAGGCACTGAGTTCAGTGCCTGCCCAGCCTAGGACCTGGCCTACAGGTGACATTTTGCAAATTTTGGTGGATAATGGGTAGGTGCTATGAGCAGAAGCACCCCCACATCCACTCCTTCCAGCCCTTTCTCAGCCTCCATCACGCAGAATCAGGGCCCCAGCATCCTCTCTGGGTGCCAGAAGCTCTTGAGCTGGCTCCCACAGCCCCTCCTGCTCCTTCCCTCTGTCCCTCATTGTCCTGAGGTGTCTGGGTCACCGACATCCAGTTCCCTGGGCGTCTGGGTCACTGTGCCCACAGCCCTGGAAAGCAGGGTGTGGGAACTGGTGCATGACCACCGCACCTGGGCTCGGGGTCACGTTTTTGCCAAGGCTGTTTCCCTAATCACCAAAGGCCCCAGAGGCCCGGTGGGTGGCTGGGACCCCCTTTCTCTTGCCCACCTCTGCTCTGTAATGGTCCATACCTGAAGGACAGCCTGTGACTACATGTGGCTCTGGGCTAGGAGACCCGGGGTGGGGGGGTGGGGG